GCACAGGTTGCCTGTACTATTCAGAACCTGCCTGGACATGGTCCTGGACCACCAGCTCTAGGTGGGCCTGCTTGAGCAAGGGGTTGAACCAGATAATCTCCAGAGGTCCCCTCCAACATCAGCTATTCTGTGGTTCTGTGACACAGGTGGCAGCAGGAATAGGTGCCCTCACAAACTAGTTTTTGCTCACAAGTACTGACAACCAGGCTTGCTGAACTGCAGTCCCTTCTGGCACTGGTACTATTACCATCTCCATTGCTCAGTTTTCAAAGAGACAAGCCAAAAGGTGAAGTGGCTCTTACAGTGCAACAAATCCAAGTTGCTAGTGGTGTTTTAAGTCTGTTTACTTCTGTGTAAGTACTTCAGTAGCACTGCATATATTCTCTCTGAGAACAGCAGCCCCTTGCTGTTCCCTGAATATATCACAACAGTCAGAAATTTGACTATAATAATTTTCTTCACCCGCCAGGACTCTACTTAGAAGAAACATCATCTTTGAAGAGTGGAACTAATAAGTAGCAAGAGAACGCTGATGTTCTGAGGGATTTTAACTACAGTAATGAGAAATAACTGTTAGTTTTCCCATATGAGATCACTTCAACAGCACATGAATTTTTTGAGCTTTGGAAGCAGAAGACAGACCTAAGAAAAAGTACAGGCATTTCAGTCCAATATCATTATGCTGAAAATCTCTGTTCCTGTTCTGCCAATTCCAGAAAAACTTCAAGTCCTAAGGCAACCTTAAAGCAACACATGTCCATGCTCATCCTTGACAGCCCCTAGTTAATCTGAATCCAGCACAGAGATAAGGATAAAATAGGTAAATTTAGATATCTGACCACAAGCAAACATGAGATTTCTGCCCATGCCGTGGCTACCAGCCTGGCTGCAGGTAAAGTGAGCTCACTCTTGCCTAAAGGTAACTGCACATCTACATATTTTTCTTCCTATAGCATACAGGTACTTAAAATATCTTTATGGCAGCTTCAGGCTGTGTGCAGAGGCTCTCAAACACACATGCGGATATTTGCGTCTAAGACACTGTTAAAAGGTATGGAGATACTAAATATTTGTCATATATTAACCTAATGGCTGAATATACCCAGGAGGCAGAAACCAAGGCTCAATTTCCTCTCTACTACAGAATGCAGAAAGCATTCCCAACAAGCAGTACTGCAACAGAGAAACAGACTGAAAAGCGATGCAGACCAACCAGCCCGTTTTAATGGTGACAGAAGGTTGGAACCCATGACTCTCCTATCACAGAACCACTGACACCCTGTGTGAGGAAGCACTGTCCCTACCATCTGTATGTATAATGTTTGCCATGCAAGCTGCGTATAAGCATTACACATGCTCCAGATACAAGACAGTACCCGCATGAAGGTATCTCATACAGGTAACTTTCTGCCTGTGTACAGGCACCCATACACAGGTGCTTTCCTTGTTCCTCCCTGAAGAAAGGATTGCTCAAGACTGGGCCGCCTGCCCATGAAGCCTAGTCCACACAGGCTTCTTCCTGAGAAAAACTCAAGGGCAGTCACAAAAGAAACTAATGGCTACAACAGACAATTTATGCAGTCTGATGCCAGCAACCTCCCTTCCTGGAGAACAAATGGATGTATGGATATGCCATGCAATGGATGTACAATGAAGCCACCAAAGCTGGGGAGGAGCCACTAAGCTCCAGGGGAAGATGGCATCAGGATGACGCTGCAAAACAATTCATCTGTCCCTGTTGTGCGGATCCTCCAGGAGCCCTCTCAGCCAACTGTCCTGCCAGGCTGGGAGCTGACTGTGCTGTCCCTGAGCATCCTGCACAAGGAGCACCATGATGTGCTTCCATAAAAGCCGGTGCACTGTAAAAATAGGAACAAAAGTGGTCTATGGAAGAAGCTGAAGCAAGGCCACAGCTTCATTGCAGATTGTTCAAAGGAGCCTGAAAATAAAGGATGGGTGCTGCTGCCTCACAGGCCATGGCTTACAGAACACAAGGCACTCAGGTGTAACAAGGAAGCGCATGGGTTACATCCAAAAACTGACTCTGTCACTCTGGCATGCAGGGTTTGAGGCAGTTCAAGTCCCATTTCAAAAAGCTGTCGTAGTTCTCAGATTCCAAAACGCAATGCTCCTAAGCTTGGCAAGACACACAAGAAACACTTAAGGAGGAATAAACAGCCCCTGGATAACTGCAGTCTTGGTCTCCAAGCATCTGAAATCGAACACCAGGAACTCACAGGAGATCCCTCCCATGGCAGGGGACACTCGAAAAAGCCCACCCTGGCTCTAAGTTTTCCTTATCTCATGCGAGCATCCCTTTCCCAGGTCCCCACGCCGGCACGACTGGGACCGCCGCTGCTCCAGGCTCCCACCGGGCTTTTCCCCGCACCGCGTGGGACCAGGTCAGGCGGGAACCGAGACTCCCGAGCCACGGGAGGCACCACGTCCCGCTCCGCACTGGCCGCCAGGCTCGGCGGAGCTTCCCCGAGTCGGCCGCCGCCGAGCTGGGCAGGCCGGGCCCGTGACGGGGCAGTTCTGCGGCGGCCCCGCGGGGCGGACACGCACCGACTTGGTAGAGGCGGCCCTCGGGCGAGAAGATGGTGATGTGCCGGTCGAACCCGGCGCTGGAGCCGCGCGACATGGCGGGAGCGGCGCGGGAGCGGCGCGCGGCCGGGGGAGCAGTGCGCGTGCAGGGCCCTGCGACACACAGCGCCCTACCGCTTCCGGGTCACGCGCCCCTCCGCGCAGGCGCCGAGGCGGGCGCCGCTCGCGCACAGTCACGCTCCCCCCGCGGCGCTGCGCATGCCCGCCCGTCGCGGCCGCCGCCCGCTGCCCTGTCGCGACATGCAGAGTCACTGCGGCAGGGCCGCTGTAGCGCGGGGGAAGGGGCAGTGTGGAGCGGGAAAAGCCTTGGGGTGCCAGGCTGGTCGGGTGGTTTTTGATTCATGGAAACCCAGAATCCCGTTGGACGTGCCTTAGGGAATGCGCACGGAAACAGCGGAAAACGGGATAAAAGCATCACCAGCCAGCCAGGAAAACAAAACCCCTCCTAATTTTCCAAAGTAAATCATTCCACGTGCTCTCTTTAATGAGTATAATTTTAAAGCAAATACCTCAAAAAACATGCTTAAGGTACTCACAATAAGTAATTGTTCTTGCAGCTGCGTTACAATGTGAAAATACTTTTTATCGGTGTCCAGTACAAAGGGAAATTCCCCAAATTTAAACTCGTGAACATATGGGGTTTTTTGCCTTTCATCTTGTTGGATTTCCCCTACTCTTCATGGGAAGGCATTTTTTTAAAAGTTGGTCCTTAAAAGAGTTGGAGAAGCTGTGTTTTGGTATCCACACTTCTATTTTAAAATTATTATTAAATGAGCTTACTCTTAGTTGAAAAAGCAGAATGCAAGTGCATTTTGTGCATGCCGCACAATACAAGTCTGCACTCTCAAATTTTTCAAAATACTCTTCCTACTTATTAATGCTATGGGAGAAGAAAATGTCTTACTGTATATTACAAGGTGCAGAGTTTGTCCCTTTCATTAAGGAAGCCCTTTGTGGGCGGACATGAAATGTTTAAAGGTGAGATGCAGGCACTGGAACACAGAGAACATGAAAATGTACAACTGTGTCTGCTGGGTCGGACATGGAGTCTGACTCAATGCTGTGTCTCCAATTGTGGCCAAAAGAGGATGCCCAAGGAAAAATATTAGGACTACAGAGAGCGCCTTTAATGATACACTCCTCTCCCAGTCTCCAACCATCTGGAGGGACTTCTCAAGGCAGGGATAGTGTCTGGTTATTTAGTAATCCTTGCTGGTTCCCTCTCATGAACTTGCTGGTCTTCCCTTGAACTCACGTGAACTTCTCGAACCCATGACATGCCGTGGCAAAGAGCTGCTCAGCGTAACAACATGTTGTGTGGTTTTGTCTGAAACCTCCCATGTTATCTGAACCTTCTATCTGCCAGTACCATTTGATGCCACTTTTGTACTGGAAGACACAGCAAGCAATCGATCCCTAGGCATCTACTCCACAACATTCATGATTTTTATGACTTCTGTGTCTCTTAAGACCATTGTTTTTCCAACATGATGATCCCTACCCTCACAGTTCTTCCATGTACAAAGCTCTTCCGTTCTATAACAGAGTTTAATGTCTGATTTTTTTTTTCCCTTGAGAAAAAGGGCATGGGGAAATGGAAACGAGTATCAAACATTTGGCCCGATTGCCAAAAAGTAAGAAATCAAAGATTCCATATTTGAATTAGACAAAAAAAGAGTAACAGTTGCTCAACACCACAGACATGATGGAGTAGAAGTTATGATACTTTCAGGATACAGCTTCCAGAAGTTTGCTCCATCTACATAGCAATTTTGTCAGATTCCAAAGTACAGCATTGTTTCAGAGGAGCAATCATGTGTTTTTGGTTTAATGTTCATCATCACCTCTGATCAACCATATGAGAGTCAAATTCCATGTTGCTGGATCCTGAGGAAGGCTGACTTCACTGACACCTTTTTAACATATTAGCAGTAAGTGGGTGATTTTGGAGATGAAGCCATTCACAAAAGAGCAGGAGAACAGGCTGAATCAGTTCAGTCTTCCTCAGCTCTATCCTGCCAGTGTGTCTCCAGCTCCATGCCATGCAGCACACAAAGCTAAGGTCTCGTTCCTTCTGATTCCTGTTCTCCCCTCTGTGTGCTAGCATATGGCAGTCAGTATCCTTCTGGGGGTAACAATTCCTGTACTGTTCTCAAGACTTGCCTCTCTAGCATTCAGCATGAACCACCCCTCTAATAAATTACCTTGAATTTTTACTGTATAAACAGCAGGAGATGTCAAATAGATCTGCTGGTAGATGTTGGTATGCTTTGGTTTGGCTCTCATATTTATTGCCAATGAAGCCCTCAGAATTCCCTTTACATACTCAAGAAGAAAATCCTCATATTCATCGTTATCTTGAAATGCCCTGTTTCAGTAATCGGAAATTTGAAGACTTACAGCAACACAAAAGAAATGTTATTTCATAAATGTCTTACATAACATGCCAATAAATAATCTCAGTCAGAACAGAGCCTCTGGAGACCATGTGCATCTATGTAACAGGTAGCATACAAACAAAAAGTCTGTAGGTTGTTTCTTCTTTGGTTCTAGAGAGGAGATCATTAATTTCCTGCAAAGATCTACAGAGAAGTGTATTAGAAGCAAATACTGAAAAACAAAAAGTCACAAATCTGCCACTAATGTTGTGACACCTTCCAGTTGTAAATTCCAGATTCGGTTCCGCTGTCCCCCAAGTACATTAGTACTGTGTATCTAGTGTTCTTATTTAGAAGGCATTACAGTATTTCCATAAGAACAGTTTTTGAGGTGAAACCCAAGTGACTGATTGGGGACATGTCCTCAGCCAAAAGGAAGCAGAGGATGCATGCATTCCAGCTAGATGTTGATCCTATGCATGTCTGTTAATGATCAAGGTGAGGTAGAACACAAATTGCAACAGGTGAACATGCCTGGTAATGAAATGGATAACCGGAAGGTCCAGTTTCTGGGACCCACCTTCTGCAGCCTGACGTTTCAGCCCCACGCCCACACAGGTACCAGTACTTGTGCACCGGTGCTAGTTCAGTGCAACAATACCCATTTAGACCTCGCTGAAGCAAATTTTGTAAGGGGTTTGCATTCAGACAACCCAGCTCTGAATTGCTTCAGGCTGCACAACCATCAGAGCTAGTACCAAATGAGAACTGTAACAGCACCGATTCACACCAGCTTATGCTGCTGTGGAACTTCATACAGAGAGTAAGGTAGCCTCGTACAGAGCAGCAGCTGCTAACTAAGTGGTCCTGTACAGGAGCAGATACTTAGTTTAAAAGCAGTATTTGCCACTTTCAAGATGTGGCAGTTCTCTGACTTACAGAATTGTAAAAACAATCTTCTGACAAATTAAAAGTATTGAGGAATGAGAGAAGTAGATCCAACCTCTCTGCTTTTCCTGGAGGACCCCATAGGAGCTGTCATGTTCTGCAAGAAAAGGCGACTGTGAGGAACACTACCAATAATGAATTTAAAACCAAGGTTCTGTGTTACCTTAGGAGGCACCCAGCTCCTCTACACTTTCTGCACAGTATTTGAAGGACTTGACCATATGCAAATCACACCTGCTGGTTTAGAAGCTGATACCAGAAGAACAGCAAGTGTCAGAATTGCTTTCTGTCATGGAAAAAAAATAAATAGCAGGGAACATGCTTGAATGCTAAGAATCCTGAGGGAGCTTGCAAGAGCTCAGAACTACAAGTACTATACAAAAAGATCTGCATGGTTCATCTGAGTTTCAGAGGATTTTTCGGCATACAAGACAAATGTGACAAAATCATGATATTTCATCCGAGATTTATGTGGCATTTCTATGTTTTGGGGAGAAAAAGGCTTGCATTAAAGTTTTAAGTGCAATAAACAAACATGTTTACCATACACACACTTAAAAATAATAACTTAGAACATTTTTCCTGTAATTTATACTATTTTTCTTGCTTTATAACTTGGGATGGGTTTTAGAGAAATGTATCTACAAAAATCAGTTTTGTCCTATTATTGCCTTTAAGAATTTCTAGTTATCGATTTTCATTTAAAAACCCATGCATTCCCATAAGCAAACTATTGTAGTGATGTGAAATCCTGTCAGAAGCAGCAAATTTGAAGGTATGAAAGAGCCACAAAATATTGCACTGGTTGTTTCCTTATTCTTCCAAACAAAATATTAATACATGTTGCTGTAACAAATATTTCGCATTCTATGTGATCAAATGAATTCTAATTAGTGTGAGAAAGTATTAGGACTAATGTGTGCCTGGAAAAAGGTAAACATACCATTTGTCCCCCTAAGCTTCATTTATTAGAGGCAGACATTTTGCAACACTGTTGTAAGGTCAGCCCCATAAACTTTGAAGGTACTTTGTAAGTCCTGCTTAATTTCTTTGAAGCACAGAGTTTATGAATTTCAGTGTAGATGAAAAGCTTGATAAAAAAAAAAGATAAAAAACCCCAAACTGAAAATCCAAGATGAAAAATCAAGTTTTAATTCAAACCACAGAAATTGCCTGTAAAGATGGAAATAATGGACCTAATTCATCCCTGCTAGACCACCACTGATGTTAAAAGATTTACTGCAGGAATGATTTTGACAAAATGCAGTCACTAAATTTTCCTTAGTTACGGGCCTCACATATTGATCACATAATTGTCCTGCTGAGTTCTGCTAGTCAGCAGTGATTACAAAAAAAAAAAAAAATAAAAGCAGCTTCAGCTTGTGCAATTACATTCTTCATCATTTCTGTTGAATGCAGAGCCATTTTCTTGGTACTTGATATGAATATTTTTCCTCAAAAACATCTTTATAGGGGATATGCCATGTATCACCTGTAGTCTGCACCACACAGTCATATTGGAAAGCTGGCTGTTGGGAAACAACAGAGAAAAACATTGCTTTTAGACTTTATACAATATATTACTAAAATACCAATTACATGTATTTATGACTTCCAATGCTTACCTTAGAAATCTCCATAGTTTCACCTCTTTTAACAACTCTCATTTTATTTCCTTACACCAAACAAATTCTAAATTTTAGTACAGGAGGAAAAACTAAAATATCTGTTAGTATTTTGTGGTCTAGGAGTCATTATAAATGGTTAAAATTCTGTCTTTAATCAGCACCAGGTAATAATGATTTAAGCACAATGCACTCAAATTTCCAGAAATAGCAAAATTATTGTTTTTCTGTTCAGTTAAACAAAATCATATGGGAATTAACTCTCGATGTAGAGTTTATAGGCTTGAACTGATAGGGTTTAATGACACTAATGACATCTTGTACTTGTTCTTCCAGTGCATCTCTTTACAGAACCGACTTGCACTGTTTCAAGGAGACATAAGAAAAGGGTTTATCACTAACACTTTCAGAACAAGTCAAACAAATATAATAAACAGTTTTTCTGCTCTATTATATTACAGGTATACTAATTCAACATATATAACACAAATACAAAAGAAACATTACTGGTTGGCAATTATGGTTGTCAGGATATACTATCACTCTGTATGTATAGTCTCGGAAGTCTACTTTTCTTGACAGCTTTCAGAATAACCTAAAAGACAGCTATGACTGGGAATACCAATCATCCAAATCACTTGTATGGGAATTAAGGTGTGAAAATTACTAGCCCCTTTGTACAAAAAAAAGAAACAGGGTGTTTCACAGCTCAAGTTGTGTTACTCAGGTAACCCTACATTCATTATTTGGTTCCATAAATGAAACGTATGTATGGCAACACTGAATGAAAGGTTGTCATTCTTAGAAGCCTGTATGTCTGTTTGTAATTATGAATGTTATCTTACAATTTCAACCAGCGAAGGCAGAAAATGAATCTGCACTGGTACACTATTCCTTTAAGTAGGCAATAACAATGCAGACAGTCCAGATATGTTAATATTATAGTGAATACTGAAATACCTGTATTTTCCTGCTTCTTTAAAATAAAGATGAATAAAATTTGGTTGTACAATTAGAAGCATGATATTTTATAACACTGCTACAGAGGAGAATAAGGTATTTCAAAATTTAAAATAAATCAAAACACTGGCACTCAGGATTTACCGAGTGCCAGTAATGTTTACTGAGTTTCCAGCACTAGAAACATTTGTATGCATAAACCTGTATTTACATTTATATTATAAACATTTAGGCAGAATTTCTTGGCTTTCTGACAGTTTTCTTGTTTGTGGCATGCTTTGTGAATACAGTGAATTTTCAGTAAACAGGGGAGTTTTGAGTGCATTGGTACAAATCCATTTCTTAGACTCCAGTAAGACTACTTTTACTTCCAGAGTTTGAAATTGTGTATCTTCAATGAATATGCTCTGTGTGTTTTCTGTCTGCAGCAGAAAACTTACCAAAAAAGTTATACGCTTTCCATCTCCAGAAGAGGATAACACTATCTGGTGTCCACGCTGCCACTTACGGAACAGATGACGTGTCAGACTGTCAGAAAGACAAGCCTTGTGATCCCGGAGGAAGTCTCTAGTAACGAACTTACAATGCTTGCCTGATCGGAGAGTGGCATATAGCAAGAAGGCATCATCGTCAGAGCTTAACAAAACAAATGGAAAAGACAAATGTCATTCACAAAGCAGTAAGTGGTTGCAGGAAATGATTCAAATGCTGATCCAAGGTTTATTCATCAGCAACAGTAAAAATTCCCATCACTACTCTAGTTCCCTGGTAAAATAAAAAATGGCTTACCACAGGGCATCAAAAGCTAGAGTACAATACAAATTGGATTGGTACACAGAGCATTTTTCCCCTCTTATCACAATCTGATAATAATATAATCTTCTGCCACAAAGTTTAACAATAGAGAGCTATGTGGAACAGAACTGCCAAAATTCATCAGTATACCCCCAAAAAGCAGCAGACCACAACTGCACACTGATGCTATCAGAAGTGCAAGTTCAGGGCACTCTGTTCTTGGCAGTGGTTTTAACAGCCATAAATCCTAATAAACCTTACAGCTGTAAACATGATTCCAAGTGATGAAATTCTTCACAATGCAACTTTTAATATGTATTGGGTTTTTAAGCAAGTATAGCAAGGGATACATTTCTCTTTCACACACACACAGATTAAGATACTAGAAATGGTACTAAAAACCACAGTAAAATCCACATAAATCAGGTGTTGGTCTCCATTATATTGAGCCATTTTCTTCAACTTACATATTTTCAGCAAAGAAGAAGTCTGCCTTATTCTGCATCTCCTTCATAATCTCTCTTTTCCAATTTGAAGAGTTAATCATCATATGTTTGCGGCCCAGCACGAGCAACCGGACATTGTCTTTTGCCAGGCAGTTAATAGCATCAAGCAGCTGCCAAAAACAAAGCAAAACCAAAGATTTTCTTAGCTGTAAAAACAGACCGACTAGAAACACTTTCACATGTGAGTCTCAACAAGAGGGACTTCTGGACTACCCTCATATACGAATTAAGCAGATAACTAAATTAACTCCCTAGTGACAAAGAAAAAAAGAAACAACAAACCAATTAATTGTAGGAAGCTGCTCCCAACCACACAGAAAATACATTATTATTATAAACCTTTTCCAGCTCTTGCAGCTTGAACTACATGAATGAACTTGGGAAGATTTGTATGGAGATGTCAGAAATTCCGAGTCAGGTGAGGGAACTGAATAACACTGGGATTTCAGTAATATCTGCTTTAGGAAATGAAGCACCGAGCCTTTGACATGTGAAAGCCTCAAGACACACCGCCTCTCCATCCCCACCTGTTGGCGGAATTGGAGAACTACACGGGTCCAGGCTGCCCTGTGGGGAACGAGCCAGCGACAGTACATAGAAATCCGTGACCTCAGGATTAAGGCTTTATGAAAGCCACATCCAGACTAGCCGCCCACTTATGAACCAACATCCTGAAGTGGTAAACTCGCTTCAGAAGGACTGTTCACCAGCCTTTTAGGTCTGTGCCTGTTTCACAATAAATGATTCTCAGGACAGCCACTTGTGCCTGGGGCTTTCCCTCCCTGCTTCACCCAGATTGAGCTCATGGAGGACAAAGGTTCTGGCTTTCAGCATCCAGGTTTATTACTGTGGACTGCTCACAGAGCAATTTCACTTCTGCCCGGAAAGACAGAAGATTTGTTTCTTGAGACTGAAGCATCCATCACATTTGAAAGCCAAAGACTGTGCTCAACCACCAGGGAAAAGCGTTTCCCAATTTTTACATGCATTTACTAACACTGTTTGTCAACATACAATCTCCTGATTTTTCTTTAATCCTTCTGCCTGCTTTTCTAGCTACTTCCCTCTTCCTTGTTACTTTTTCTCCCTGCAATAACTCCAATTTGCCTTTCCCCTCCTTTCTTCTATTTGTCATCCTTATCATTATTTGGTATCACCAGCTTTTGATTCAGGGGATAGAAAGAGTCATTCTTCTAACTCTTGTGCACAATTTTACAATGCATTTAGTTTCATCTACCTGCAAAGAGCAGGGGAAAGGGGTGGTTCCTACTCAGTCCTCTCTCAGGCTGCACATTCTCACTACTCTTCTTGTGCTACATCTAAAAACGTCACAACTACCCACGAGCTCACTGATCCAACAAAAGACATTTTTTTGTAGGGTTGAGCTTGCAGCAACCCAACAGACAGACTTGAGTCCGTGGCTCAATGACTGATGGGAACACATCGCTGGAGGTGGTGCAGACAGGGAGAGTGGGACTGCCCCTCACAGCAAAGGACTTCCAGATGCCTCAAATTAAGTATGCCATGAATCTAGATCTAAGGATCTGGGAAAGGAGGCCAGAAGACTTTCTACATTAATTTTAGCTGTTGACCTATAAACTGCTGTTGCCAGCAATGACTCTGAGAGTCCAAAGGCTCTGTTTTCATAGAGACACAGGGGCTCGGTGCTAATGCAAAGCATAAGAGCTTAACAGTACCTATTGGAACTGACTTCCTGCTTCCAGGAGATCACACTGGATATTGGCTGTGTGTGCCTACAATCTACTTTTCCCCAGTTAAAACAAACCAAACATAATGTGAGCAGGAAAAGGCCAAATGCAGCAATTTCTGTCCACAAAATGGCAGGTAAAAATAAAAACGGCACTTTCTCTAGTGCATGCCCTTGTTTTTGGAGAAAAGTTTCAGAATTCCTGGTGGAACATAGAACTGAAAGATAGAAACAAAAGCCACCATTTTTATGTTACAGAAAGGCTTTCATAGTAAGTATAGTATGTAATAACATATCTTCTCATCTATGTCACATATTATTAAATATTCAGGTTTTCAATATTGACATTTCTTTTGGAATGTCTCATCTGGGCAGTAAAAACTACTTCATCAATTTTACTTGTTTACAGTCACTTTTATTTTCTAGTTCCTATGCATTGGCCCAGTCCTGTAAATAGCTGGATACAAATACCAATGGAGAATTAAGTTGGTTAATCTGAGTTCACTAAAGCTAATAAAAGCTAGGAATGTATCTACTGCATCCACACACAGTTTCACATATAGAAGTCAACAGTGAAGAAATATCAACCATGAGTAATTTAAGTAACCCCTTACAAATTCCAAGTGAAAATATTTTTTCTTTTTGCCTAATTTTTTGCTACATTAAGGGGAGGTTAGCAGAAAGTGAAGTGGAAAAAAATTAAAATGGTTTTCAAAGAACACTTCAGGAGCTGATTCCACATAATCTAAAATAAAAAAAAACTTGACAGCAAGATCATCCTGATGGTACAACATAAGAAACAAGTCCTAAAAGCAGATTATGAGTAAAAAGAGTCTCAGGAACATATCTGCACTAGCAGTACTGCAAGTCAATAAGGAATTGACAGTGTTTGAACTGCTAGAGTTTACCTCCAATAAAAGAACAGAAACACCTTTTAGTTACACTTAGGGTTCAACAAAACAGCCGCTGCATTTCCAAATACAAACTGGTCTGTGGGGGCTATTCCCAAGATTATAAAAGACTTAACTGTCTTGGATCCAGCTCCCTTAAGTTTTTCTTTCTGGAGGTTATAAATAGTGACACTTTGTACCTGTTAGTTATGTAGACTTTCTTGCCCTACATATTATTAGCATATGAGGTTCTCTAGTGTGAAGTGCTACTGGGAGAAAATGGAGAGGTTGGTATAGTATAGCCGCTGTTTTGCAATGGAAAATCTCAAACCAGTCTTAAATCATAATAAAATTAAAGGGAATCAATATTTTAAAATTTTGAAACTCCTGCTTGCATAACAACGCACTGTCCCTCCTCTACTTACCACAGAGACTAACCTTGCTTACACAACTAAAACACAGAAGATAGAAATTATTTTTGTTTTCATAAGATAAAAATAATTTTTTTCTGCACTCCCCCTTATCTGACACAATTTTACTAGAGAGAATTTTATCTCATTTTAGGCTTGGGCACTTAACAGGAGTGGTCTACAAGGAGTCACAGAACTTACATGGGGGGTTTCCTAAGTGTATTTACTCCCACGCCTGGCTGCTTCTCCAGAAAGGAAGACATGAGACACACAGTAACACTTGTTTTAGTCACAAAGGAAACTAACTAATAAAAAGCAGCAATAGTGATCTCTCATTTAAAAAGACAGGGGTATTTTATTAATCTCCAGAAGTTATCTAAAAGTTATTATCTGCCACTACACAATGCAAATACGCTACATGCAGTAAGCTCTGTGTAGATGCACCTTTTGAATGTTCCCACATTATTTAGGCAGCAAACATCAGATGCTCAGTTCCAAAGGTAATCTGAATAAAACATTAAAAAATATAAAGCACACAAATTCCCTATGATAATGATTTTCTTGAGAATGAGGATTACAAAATTAGTGAAAGAATGGCCTGTTATGAATGAGTATCTTTCAAATTTGGACGGCAAGGCATATAAACCCACATTTTCTCTGAAAACAGGAATTAGAAGATGCCATTTTGCACTGAAGGGAAAACAGGCATGGTTAACTGGCTGCTTCAATTCATATGGCAAGACATAGCTGAGGCAGAGTAGCAAGAAGTTGTGAATTGCTACCGTACTGCACAAATCACTGGCCATGCAACAAGGCACTAGAACTGGATTACATAGATAACTACCATTGCAATCAGTCTTATTTTCTTTTCTTCTGACAGGGCACATCAGGATCCATGCTTCTTTCTGAACTACACAGACATTTTGATAATTTTCAAAGATCACTAGATCCCTCTCTGAGAAACTCACGCTCAAGACATTCTACTTGCGATCCCTTTCATCATTTATTAGTAATTTAAACTATTCCTATGCTGTCCCAGTCTTTGGTTAATTATATCATTCTCAAGCTTCTCCTAAACCTTCACATTTTCCTTACGTTAATTTTGTGTTCACAGCACTTATCAAATGACACTGATGGAGCCCTGTTGTGGCCATGTAGTTCTTTTGTGAATCAGTGAAACACTTGTATGATACTCTGGTTGAGTGTATACAATTTATCTTTCCTTGAGACACTCCCATAGATAAGACCTTTTTCCCCACAAGTAAATGAGTTCTTTTTTGTTTCTGCAGCAATGCCATTTTATGAAATTTTCTCTCCACCAACAAGCTCCTGCCTTCATATCACAGTGCACCTTTTTTTTTTCTGTTGTGCTGATACAATCCGTTTGTTGGGCCATGTTGTCAACCAGACCATGGCACAGTCGCAACTATGCTCACACACTGGATCAGAGGAGCTGAAGTGAAGTGAGGAAGCAGAGCAGTAGGACAGAGAACACATACTCCACAGGATCATGCTGATGTTGAACTCCTCATACCATGTAAAAAGCCTGAGCTTTGCAAATATGAAATAAAGCAACTAAAAATGCTGTAACTGGCAGTTTCACATTTTAAAAATCAATTATACCTTGGAAGAACAACTTTTTAGGTGAGAATAAATATTAAGAGTTTCCCACCAGAAGGGAGGTCTTCTATACAAACTTCTGGAAATAGTTTTGCAGTGACCCACATTCACAATTCTGCACAATCTCAAGGCGATCAAACATAGGAGTTAAACTAGGAGAGCAGGGAATCCTTGTCATGCTGCAAGATTAATTACCTTTCTTTAAATTTCACAATAGCCTTATAAAGTGAATGCATAATGACATCTCCATTTCACAAGTGCATAATGGAGCACAGGGAAGACAGATTAATTACTCCACGTCATACAAGGAACTATGAGCAGAGCAGGATACAGATTTCCTAAGGCTTCACTGCCAGTCACCCATTCTGATCACTAGGTCATGCTGTGCCATGTGTTCCCAGTTTCAAAGGTCAGCTTGCGGTAGGACAGCCTTTCTCCTTAGATAATACTGGTACTTTCCCACTTGTCAGATGGGAAACCCG